CCAAATTTTTGAGCACAATGTTCTCCATTGAATTCAAATTTACAATCCTTAATGCATAGTTTGATGAGTTCGATGAAGTCGTCATTCGAGACAGGCAATGAAATATTATCCAGGGAATCTATGAGGAACTCCAGTAAATCATCAACTGGGACCTTTGTAAAAAGCATATTAGCAATGTCGAGGTAGGGAACGAACTTGCAAACAGCGATCACAAAGATTCGATTCAGTTAGATTTTCAGGGAACGAGCGTAGAGAAAATTCCACTAAAGTACCAGATAGTTTTAGAAGCGTCTTACCAAATTTGCAGATGAGGTCGTGGTGATGGTCAGTGAGAGTCGAAAGGGTCAGTGTGTTGAGCGCTTCTTGATATGTGGAGTAGGATGGGGAGAGAATAATCTTGCATGCCCTCTTTTGCACTTTTTCTAGGTGTTTACGTTGTGTGGCATTTAGGGAGGAAGACCAGGTGGGGGAGGCATAGGTGAGCTTGGGAAGTATGAATGTTGAGTAAACACTGAGGAGCTCGGATGCAGGAACTCCGAGGGACTTGAGTCGGCGGAGGAGGTGGAGACGGAAACTGGAGGACTTGACAACTTCACTGACGTGTGGTTTCCAATTTAGTTTGTTGCCTATAGTGACGCCGAGGAGCAAATTTATTTCCAGATGAAAGATGATGTACTTATGTAATTTTTTTGTGTTTAAATTATTGTAAAAATTATTTTGGATAAGGTTTATGTACATATTACAGTGCAACATGTATTTCCTTTAATGTAGCAGAAAGCAAAATACTATAATTTTTGTTTCTTTAGTTTCTTTCGAAAAGGACCCTAAAGCATTTCTTTTGTCACATTCCAAATGCCTTTTTTTGTACACACAAATTTGAAGTTTTCTCGGTTTAGAACGAAAGCAAGTACAGTATTCTTTTTGTTAGCTCAATACAATTTTTCTGACCAGTAAAAATGCACTCCAGTTAACACGCACTTGGTCGGGTTGTGGAATGTCAATCTCCTGGTTGACAAAAAAGTTTTTTTGTTTTTTTTGCTTTAAAGGTGCAGATTGGTGTATAAAACCTGAAAATAACGTTCATTTTGGGAGTACTCACCATTTTGAGGCTCCCAGGTCATGAAGTTGGAGCAGGAAGGGTGGCCAGTGTGGCTTATGTCTGTGTGGTGTAATATACCGTGGTGTCTCATTCATTCATGTTTTCTACTCATGGATTTATGAGGGGTGATCAAAAAGTTCGGTGAATGGTACCACTACCAAAGAATGGATGAATAGTGGTTAGGCCTGTGGCCGGAGCTTACATCATTCACCCTCCTAGTTGCCACCAAACACCATTACAGTATGCACCAGTGCACCGTGGCATAGCTTTGAATGAGGATGTGTCTGTGTCATCTGGCACTTTTGTAGAAATGTCGCAGTTTGAGCAATGTTTAATCATGAAATTTTGCTTTAAGCTTGGCAAGATGGCGACAGAAACTAACAACATGCTTGTAATGGTTTATGCAGATGAAACTGTGAGCAAGATGTCTGTTTTAAAGTGATTTCAATGCTTTTGGGAAGGAAATGAATCACTTGATGATGAGATGAGGAACAATTTCCAGTGTATACCTAGATAGTGTGGATATACACACAGCAGTAAACAGTAAAGCAAATTGACCAAGGATAGCCGACAAAGCCATCAGGTGCTTTTTTTCAATTGGATATCCAGTATGAGAGAGGTAGTTGATAAATCCATTGGTAGCCCAGAATACATGCGGCAGGTCTCCAGAAACATGCCAGACTGGGCCGTGATATCACTGATGGTCGGGCACTGAAGAAGTGTGTGTGATGGGATGTGAGGGTGAGAGGTGGTGAGGGTGAGAGGTGGTGTGGGTGAGAGGTGGTGTGGGTGAGAGGTGGTGTGGGTGAGGAGTGCTGTGGGTGACGGGTGCTGTGGGTGAGAGGTGCTGTGGGTGAGGGAGTCATAAGCGACAAGGCAGACTCAAAACACATGGGGAGTCACGCGTCTCTCTCACGTGTCCTTCGTCAAGTGAGGGCAAGCGGGTATTACTCAGGTGTGATGGGGGCGGGTGGTGATGAGGGAAGAAAGAAAGAGAGGGGACAAATTAAGGTGAAGGATGTGGGCAGGGGGCGGAGTAAGGGAATAAAGAGAGAGAGGTAAGGAGAGGAGGAGAGGTAGAGAGGGAAAAGTGGGGAAAGAAGGTAAGGATAGGAGGGTGAGGGATGGGGAGGAAGGGAGAATAGAGAAGGGAGGGAAGAAATAAGGATGGGAAGGTGAGGGATGAGGAGAAAGGGAGGATGAAACAGGTAGGGAGAATGGAAGGTGGAGTGAGGGAAGAAGGGAAGGGAGGGGGGAATGGTAGAGAAAAGGGTGCGGGGAGGGAGGAAGTGAGAAAGATTAGGAGTGGAGGTGGGGGGGAGGGAGAAAGGGAAGGAGAACAAGATAAAAGTTACCTTCAGTGTTTTAACCTTAATGTGCGTGATTGGTGGATGTCGGTGGTGGGTGGTGATGTAGAATTGGTGGTGAGTGGCAAAGGATGGTGAACAGTGATGTTGGGTGGTGGAGGGTGGTGATGTTGGGTGGTGGAGGGTGGTGTGATTGGGCGGTGGAGGTGGTAATGTTGGGCGGTGGAGGGTGGTAATGTTGGGTGTGGGGTGGTGATGTTGGGCGGTGTAGGGTGGTGATGTTGGGTGGTGGAGGGTGGTGATGTTGGGTGGTGGAGGGTGGTGATGTTGGGCGGTGATGTTGGGCGGTGGAGGGTGGTGATGTTGGGTGGTGGAGGGTGGTGATGTTGGGTGGTGGAGGGTGGTGAAGGTGGATGAATGGCAGGAAATCACGTCTGTTGGTTTCCGCTGTTAAAATATAGTGGCGGTGGGTGCTGGTAAGTCAATTGTGCTGGCTCTCACTGTCGTGGTAGTGGCAACAAGTCACGTGTACTGTCCACAAAGCCACTAGTCCAAGTGAACACGTGTAGCGGTTGGGGAGGTGGTAGCTCAACGGTCCCCGCTAATTAGTTCAAGTGAAATACTCTAAAAGAACAAACTTCGTGTCGTCGAACTTAACAAAAGGAAACACAAATAATGAAGGTTTTTCACATAAGTTTAAACTATTAACTGGTGTATTTCTAGCCCACGAACAGGGAGAAGCCTGATACGAGTAACTAAGCGGGAACTTTATATTTTATTTATTTATTTTTTTATTATTAAATTGATTTGCTCAACTCAGCATCACAATGGCCTATTTAAAGTCTGATGAACAGCAGGCTCTCACTCCCTCAGTGCCGTGACTGGCCAATTTATTCACATGGTCGACTGAACCTTCACAACAACACCGAGACACTATTATTAGATCGTGATGTGGATTTAGATAAAGAGATAGATGAAAAATATATTAGAGTTATAATACAAATACCGAGGCAATTGGCCTGTTCCAGCGCCATATAGACCGCCATCGAGTAACCTGACACCCTGAAACTAGCGAAAGATATTTTCTGAAACTTTGTTTATAAAGTGTTTGTCTTATAAGAGACAGTGCGCCACCATCCTCGGATCAACTTCATCATACACATTACATCTTCCATATTTTGCCTGAGAAACTGTTATGTCAACATTTTCCCCAGCAATAATCGCATCATGTTTCCATTTCATAATTATCAAGTCTCTTGTATTATCTGTTTGGTGTATTTGTGTTGGTTATAACAGTGATCATAATGGGTCGTAAGTGAGGACCGCTATTTCACACCACATGTGATAGAAAAATTTATGTTGAGTTTAACTAAATGTGACAGCGAAGGGTAACCTGCTCAGTAAAACACACCTGGTTCACTGTCGCTCGCCTTACACCTATTAGTTGTTGCCAAATATATATTTGATATATGAGCTCTGATCAACTATTTCTTATAGTGTTCATTCGAAACTAATTTCCCTATTGTATTCTGATATTCGAATGGATACTCCTATCACTATAGATCTCTACTCACGTAAACGAGGTATTAACACCTCTTCATTATCCATCAGCAGTAACGTTGGCCGATATTCACATTAATATCCTTCCAATCTCTTTTTTGATGAGTATTCGTTCGAATCACACTGCTCCGTTGCCAGTTCCACTGTGTGCGTTGGTGGGAGGGTCGGCGTAGTGACCTGTCATCCAGGAAGGGTACAACGGACTATGGACCCTTCACCGCCAGTGTACCACGAACTTCTGAACGGAACTGTACATACCGACACAAACAGTGTACTGAAAATAATCTAACACTCATTGCCATATTTTGAACACTGGGGTCCGATAAACACCCTCTCTGGCCTCTACTCAGTAATTCTTTTTACGCTACTGCTCACAGAAGGGGTATGGGGCGCACGCACGCACGCACACTTACATGCATTTATACGTTGAATGATGAAGAACGTTAATATTTACTCTTTTATTGTTTAACTTAGTTAAAGGGTTCGAATGAATTTAATGGCTCTTAGATATTTGTTTTCATGATAAGCGCTTCTGATAATAAATAGGTTAAGTGTGTGTTATCAACGTCTTAGAACTGCTGATACGATTGTCATTGCTCGTAAGTCAGCAGCCGTGGTAATAGTGATAGTCGTGGTTGTTATGTGCAGTGGTAGTAGTAGTAGTATTTATGATTAGGGTGGTAGTAATAAATACATAGTTATTATTATTATTATCGTTGTTGCTGGTGTTGTTGATGATAGTAAGAGTTGTCATAGTTGCATTTTGCCAACAGACAGCTCCTGCGAATCATGCTCCACCTTGTCATGCGTGAGAGAATTGCAGGCAATAATAAACGTACCCAAAAAACAGCATCCCCCAACACTGTTTTCAGGAGAGTTACCAAACATATCTGAACGAATTATTGTTTCTCTCTTCATGCAGTACAGGGTTTATGGCGTGTACTTACAAGGTCTGAAACAAGGATGAAGTCATGAGCCCAATATTACCAATTTAATACACGATAATGTTTTGGAAAAGTCCATAAAAAGTCTCATACCGATATTCCGAACAGACAACCTTCAGACTCCCGCCCCTTCCGCGGCGTAATAAGAGCAGCGAAGGCCAGCAGTTGCGTGAGGAGTGCCTTGGGGTTAGTGCATGCTTTTCTCGCGTTATACTCCCTGTTGAACTGTAAACTGAATTCTGTGATAACAAATTAATTAACATCAATTTATAACAAGGATTAAGTTGAATTTAAAGTAGAAAATTATTATTAGAATTTCGAGTCAGTCAAATTAATTGTGTGATTTATTCTAAGATTAAGAATACACCGTTGATTCATCATCCACATCAACCCGTGATCAAGGACAAGAGAGAAGGATGGTGACGGAGGCGGTGCTGGGGGTGCTGCTGCTGGTGTTGCTGCTCGCCCTGGTCAGCAGGAAGCCTAAAGGACTTCCTCCAGGTACTTCTAAGCTCAATATATATATATATATATATATATATATATACAGTATATATAACAAAGAAGTATGTCTGTGTGTGTGTTTGTTTGTGAGTTTGTGTGTGTGTCCGCACGAGAATCTCGGAAACTACTTTACCGATCTGTAGTGATGATGGATTGTGTTATATGTAGTGATGATGGATGGTGTTATATGTAGTGATGATGGATGATGATGTTATATGTAGTGATGATGGATGTTATTATATGTAGTGATGATGGGTGGTGTTATATGTAGTGATGGGTGGTGTTATATGTAGTGATGATGTTATATGTAGTGATGATGGATGTTGTTATATGTAGTGATGATGGGTGGTGTTATATGTAGTGATGATGGATGGTGTTATATGTAGTGATGATGGGTGATGTTATATGTAGTGATGGGTGGTGTTATATGTCGTGATGATTAGACAATAAAATAATAACAGTTTAATGCTAAAAAAATATACTTTGCTGTACCGTTGTAGTGGAACTTACATACACCGTTAATGAACTATTGATGGAAGAAGAAGTTTTGGGGACTGAAGAGTGAGACAATGTGGAGCCTCCCGGAGGGTGGCGTCCTACCATGTGCCTAGCGAATGAGCCGCCCGGACCAAACTTGGCATGGATAGCAAGTGTCATGTGGGGATCTCAAAAAAAAATCCAACCAACCCGATCCAGGCTGTTTACCTGGAAAATGGACAAAGAGTAGACTTCACAGAAGAGTCCCTCCAAAATCAAATGGCAAATCCTGCTGATACGACCCTCACTGCATTCTTCAAGCTTTCACAGGAAGATGAGTTTGCTCAAATACTCCTGTATGTTGACGTACCGAAGTTCTACATATGGCAAGCTTCAATGAAAAAGTTCCAGAGAAGAGCTCAAGGATCCGATGTTGAAGGATATCCAGGGATAAAGTCAGGCAATGCTTTGGGACGTGTCTACTCGGTTCACCCCAACAACTTTGAATGCTATTGTTTGAGACTACTTTTGCACCAAAATCCGTGGCCCAACATCATATGCAGCACTCAAGACAGTGAATGGACAAGTCTGCAGAACCTATCAGGAAGCGTGCAATCTCCTTGGCCTACCGGAAGATGATGGTCACTGGGAATGAGGAACCTGTTTGCCATCATGATTGCTACATGTGGACTTTCCAACCCAAGCCAACTCTGGAAAAAAAACACCAAGAAAGTCTTTCAGAGGATCTGCTTCATCAAGCAAGAAGAAAACATCCTGGTCAAGAGATTGAGTTCATGGATGACATGTTCAACAGGGCTCTGATCATGCTGGAAGACAAAGTGATGGAGCTATGCGGAAAAAACCTGACTGATTTTGGATTGCCTTCCCCAAACTCGATCTGTGGTGTAATGGTCAGCATGCTCGCCTCGCAAGAGAGCGGACCCGGGTTCGATCCCCGGGCAAGGTGAGACTATGGGCAAGTTTATTTACGCCATTTGCCAATGTCTACCCAGCAGTAATTGGGAACCAGGAAGTTAATAAATTTGGGGATCGTGTTCCGGGGAAATGGTTAGACAGTGCAGTTGGCGAGTTGTCCGGTCTTCTCACCTGGTTCATGCAACTCTTTAACTTAGGGTGTTGGTGACAGCTTCTACACCTAAAACAAATTCACGCCGAGGTGGCCCTTGGGACGGCCATCCTCATTACACGAGGGGCTACCATTATATGTATGTGTATAACCACGTCACTCATCATTTTCGAAAAGCAAGATGATGTTTATTTCATCGACCACACTCCAAGTTACATGTGCCCAGGTAATAGTTGTGGTGTCCCGAGGTGAGTGGGGCTGGCCTGTGCTGGGTACATGTCCCCAGGTAATAGTTGTGGTGTCCCCAGGTGAGTGGGGCTGGCCTGTGCTGGGTACATGTCCCCAGGTAATAGTTGTGGTGTCCCCAGGTGAGTGGGACTGGCCTGTGCTGGGTACATGTCCCCAGGTAATAGTTGTGGTGTCCCCAGGTGAGTGGGGCTGTTGCTGCGTACATGTCCCCAGGTAATAGTTGTGGTGTCCCAGGTGAGTGGGGCTGGCCTGTGCTGGGTACATGTCCCCAGGTAATAGTTGTGGTGTCCCCAGGTGAGTGGGGCTGGCTGTGCTGTCCCCAGGTAATAGTTGTGGTGTCCCCAGGTGAGTGGGGCTGGCCTGGGCTGGGTACATGTCCCCAGGTAATAGTTGTGGTGTCCCCAGGTGAGTGGGACTGGCCTGTGCTGGGTACATGTCCCCAGGTATGGTTGGTGTCCCCAGGTGGTGGGCTGGCCTGTGCTGGGTATGTCCCCAGGTAATAGTTGTGGTGTCCCCAGGTGGTGGGGCTGGCTGTGCTGGTATGTCCCCAGGTAATAGTTGTGGTGTCCCCAGGTGAGTGGGGCTGGCCTGGCTGGGTACATGTCCCCAGGTAATAGTTGTGGGTGTCCCCAGGTGGTGGGATGGCCTGTGCTGGGTATGTCCCCAGGTAATAGTTGTGGTGTCCCCAGGTGAGTGGGGCTGGCCTGTGCTGGGTACATGTCCCCAGTGTGGTGTGGTGTCCCCAGGTGAGTGGGGCTGGCCTGTGCTGGGTACATGTCCCCAGGTAATAGTTGTGGTGTCCCCAGGTGAGTGGGACTGGCCTGTGCTGGGTACATGTCCCCAGGTAATAGTTGTGGTGTCCCCAGGTGAGTGGGACTGGCCTGTGCTGGGTACATGTCCCCAGGTAATAGTTGTGGTGTCCCCAGGTGAGTGGGGCTGGCCTGGCTGGTACATGTCCCAATAGTTATGGTGTCCCCAGTGAGTGGGGCTGGCCTGTGCTGGGTACATGTCCCCAGGTAATAGTTGTGGTGTCCCCAGGTGAGTGGGGCTGGCCTGTGCTGGACATGTCCCCAGGTGGTGGGGCTGGCCTGTGCTGGGACATGTCCCCAGGTGAGTGGGGCTGGCCTGTGCTGGTTACATGTTCCCAGGTGAGTGGGGCTGGCCTGTGCTGGTACATGTCCCCCAGGTGAGTGGGGCTGGCCTGTGCTGGGTACATGTTCCCAGGTGAGTGGGGCTGGCCTGTGCTGGGTACATGTTCCCCAGGTGAGTGGGCTGGCCTGTGCTGGGTACATGTCCCCAGGTGAGTGGGGCTGGCCTGTGCTGGGTACATGTCCCCAGGTAATAGTTGTGGTGTCCCCAGGTGGAGTGGGGCTGGCCTGTGCTGGGTACATGTCCCCAGGTATAGTTGTGGTGTCCCCAGGTGAGTGGGGCTGGCCTGTGCTGGGTACATGTCCCCAGGTAATAGTTGTGGTGTCCCCAGGTGAGTGGGGCTGGCCTGTGCTGGGTACATGTCCCCAGGTAATAGTTGTGGTGTCCCCAGGTGAGTGGGGCTGGCCTGTGCTGGGCGCCTGGATGCCGTCAGGAGTGACCATGGAGGACCACGCTAAGGCTCTCAGACAGAAGTATGGCGACATTTTCACGTAAGTTAATAGTTGTATATTTTTTTTTTACTCTTGCGTCAACAACTAGAGTTTTGTCATGATATATATGACAACATTCTTACCTTGGTGTACAAAATAACATTCATACCTTGGTGTACACAGTAACATTCATACCTTGGTGTACACAGAAACATTCATACCTTGGTGTACACAGTGACATTCATACCTTGGTGTACACAGAAACATTCACACCTTGGTGTACACAGAAACATTCATACCTTGGTGCACATAGTAACATTCATACCTTGGTGTACACAGTAACATACACACCTTCGTGTACACAGTAACATTCATACCTTGGTGTACACAGTAACATTCATACCTTGGTGTACACAGTAACATTCATACCTTGGTGTACACAGTAACATTCATACTTTGGTGCACACAGTAACATTCATACCTTGGTGCACACAGTAATATTCATACCTTGGTGTACACAGTAACATTCATACCTTGGTGTACACAGTAACAGCCATACTTTGGTGTACACAGTAACATTCATACTTTGGTGTACACAGAAACATTCATACGTTGATGTAAACAGTAACATACATACCTTGGTGTACACAGTAACATTCATACTTTGGTGTACACAGAAACATTCATACGTTGATGTAAACAGTAACATACATACCTTGGTGTACACAGTAACAGTCATACCTTGGTGTACACAGTAACATTCATACTTTTGTGTACACAAACATCCATACGTTGATGTAAACAGTAACATTCATACCTTGGTGTACACAGTAACATTCATACCTTGGTGTACACAGAAACATTCATACCTTGGTGTACACAGTAACAGTCATACCTTGGTGTACACAATAACTTGGTGTTTGTGACCCGGGCAGGTGGAGGATGGGCAGCCGCACGATGGTCTTCCTCAACAACTTCCAGCTCATCAAGACAGCGTTCAACAACCCCGACCTGCAAGACCGACCTGACTTCTACACCTTTGATTGTTTTATTGACTTCAAGAAAACTGGTAAGTTACTCCTTTCCAGGTTTAGTTATTATCAGGACACACTAACAAATATATACTGCAGTATTTGTCACCTAGGTTGGTGAGTTTTAAGGTGGCTAATGAGGCCGATACGGGACCGGCGTGTCGTTCACAAATGGTGCACATGTGGATGGTTCCAGCTAGTGCAGGAGGAGCGGCGACAGCGTTTTTCCAGCGCTGGCGCTTGTCTGCCTCGGTTTGCAATCGGGATAACTTGGAAGTATTGACACCTTCTCGTGTGGTGATTCTCCAAGCGTTACGGTGTGGAGTGATCGTCTCCCAAGTGAGGGGGTCGGTTTGGTACCTTTTCAGGTTTGTCTTGAGACTATCCTTATACCTTTTCAGTTGCCCGCCAGCGTTACGTTTACTATTCGTTAGATGACTGTAAAGTAGCTGCTTTGGCAGTCTTCTCTCGTCCATGCGTGTAACATGGTCAATCCAACGTTTATAGGTAATAGTAGCCTCGATGCTCCTCCACCTCCTAAGATGTCCCCACACACAACGCTTCCGTGACGCCTGCTGGACCACCACTCCACGACCCACTGACGGAGACACGATGATCCTCCCCATACTGGCCACATATTTTGTAAATAACATTGATTATGTGTTAAAGGAATATCCTTCCTTCCTTAGGCTTTAGTAAGCCCCTTTATAATATTTATAGTGTATATACTTGTCACACTTGCCAGATGCGTCTGGTGTCATTGTACAGGGGTACCTAGTGACAGCACTAGGATCCCGCTTCCTCTATCAAGGAATAAACAATTGAAATTGAAATTGAATTGATGCTCCTCCAGTTGGTGTCAGCGAGACTGGTATTTGTTCTCGTGTCTTTCTCGCAAACTTGGAGGATGGAACGTAGACTACATTGGTGAAAGTTTTCAAGTGCCTTGAGGTGCCTCCTGTATGTAACTCATGTCGCACTGCCATATAGCAGGGTGGGAAGGACCACTGTTCGACATATGTGCAACTTTGAAGATAATTTTCACTCCCTATAGCTGAACACATGGGTACGGAGCCTGCCAAAGGCTTGAGATGCACATCTGATCCGATGTTGAATCGCTTCATCGATATCTTCGGTGGTGGACAGGTGGGAGCCGAGATACTGGAAGTGGGTAGCATTAGAGAAAGTAGTACCGTTAAGCTGGATGGATGGTGTAGGTGTGGCTGAACCAGAGGTAGGCTTAAAGATAATCCGAGTTTTACGCACATGCATACGCATCGGGATTGGTGTTCAGGATCTCCTGTAGGTCGTGTTAAGTTGTGAGCGACAGGGTGAGGTAGTCTGCATACTGAAGTCCAGTAATGGAAGCTTGCGACACCCTTGTTCCTGCCTGGAGTCGTCTTATTTTGAAAATAACCTTCATCCGGAACTCTGTCCACCCGTCCGTCTAAATTGGCACTAGCATGAGTAAAATTGGCACTAGAAGGCAGCCAAGAAAATGGAAAAGAGAGTTGGTGCCAGTACACAGCCTTGTTTTACCTCTGTTTGGATGGGGAAGAACTCAGACTGGGTGCCATTGAGCAGGACGCTGCCGTTTATGCCGTCGTGAAGTTGCCTCACAATGGCGATGAATTTTGGTGGGCAGCCAAACCGGCTGAAGGTCCGCCAGAGGGCTTCCCTGTTCACCGAGTTGAAAGCCATGGTTAGGTCGATGAAGGCCATGTACAGGTCACGACGCTGTTCTCTGCACTTTTCCTGTATCTGGCGGGCAGCAAAGATTATGTCAGTGGTGCCACGTGATGGTCTAAAGCCACATTGAGATTCTGGGAGGAAGTTTTCTGCCTAAGGAAGAAGTCTGTTTCGTAGGACTCGGACGATATTCTTGCCAGCTATGGACAGTAGCGATATCCCGCGGTAGTTCCCACAGTCTTACCGGTCTCCCTTGTTCTTATAAATATTGACGATGGAGACGTCTTTAAGAGTTTGGGGGATTTCCTCCTTTTCCCATAATATTCTCCAGGAGAGAGTGGAGACGGCTAGTAAGCAGAGGTCCCCCTACTTTATAAACATCGGCTAGGATTACATCAGGCCCTGAGGCTTTGTTATTTTTCATCTGTTTGATGGCAGTAGCTACCTCATCCATGGCTGGAGGATAGCTGAGATGGGTCAGCTCTGGATGCTGATGGACCTGCTGGGTAGTCAGGACATCCACATCGGTGTTTCGAATGAGCAGCGAATGGTAGTGCTCTTTCCAGCACTGACGGATGCCTTCTTTGCCTTTAATTAGGGAGTGACCGTCGGATGAGCGTAGGGGGGCTATGCCATGAGTGATTGGCCCATAAAATGTTTTAGTGGCATTGAAAAATTCGCGCATCTTGTGTTGAGCTGCAAGTTTTTGCACTTCACATGCTTTATTTTTAAACCAGTCGCTCTTTAGCTCGCGAAGCACCCGCTGGGCTGCCTCTCTCTTCTTGCGGAAGGTACTGTATCAATTGTGGTCCCAGACTGAGGGTTGCTCTGCCAGTCAGTTAAAGCAGCACATTTATCATCGACGAGTATCATTGATTGCCGGGTCATTTTCATCAAACCAGTCCTGGTGTATTCTTTCGACCTGGCCAAGGGTGTCGCTGCAGGTTTTTGTCATGACAGTGTCGAGAATACTCCATTCGGCACAGGGATTTGGGTTGTTTGTTGTTGGGTTGCTTATCAGCCCATGTTAGAGCTGCTCTCTGAAATCATGCGCTACCGCTGGATCCTCCAGACGCTTAGTGTTAAAACCTCTTCTGGAGGCTTGTTGCCTTCGCCATTTTGGGGCGACGGGATGTGAGAGCTTGGCTCTGTTGAGCCGATGATCAGTGTCGCAGTGGTCTGAGCCACACATTGCTCGGGTGATGAGGACATCTCGGCGATCTCTTTCTCTGACAATGATGTAGTCAATGAGATGCCAGTGTTTGGATCGTAGGTGTTGCTACGAACCCTTGAACTTGTCGGCCTGCGTAAACAAGGTATTGGTGATAGTGAGGTTGTGTGCAGCACACTTGCTGAGAAGGAGTAGGCCGTTGGGATTACACTTTCCTAGTCCATTTATCCCTATTTGTTAATAAGTGTTGGATATAACAACCATTTCAAATAAATATAAAATACCTTTTTTTCCCATATTTCCATATCATAACGTATACCTAACCTAACTTAACCAATCTATCCGAACTTACCTAACCTGACCGAACTTAACCAATCAAAACAAACTTAACATCTCCGTAGGTATATTCGCAAGCAATGGCGTCCACTGGCGCAACAGCCGTCGGTTCGCCCTGCGTCAGATGAAGGATCTGGGAATGGGCAAGTCGAGCCTGATGGACGCCATCCAGTACGAAGCGACTTGTCTGGTGGAAGACTTCAGTAAACACACGGGACATCCCACTGTCCTCCCTCGCTCTCTCGATGTTTCTGTCCTCAACGTCATCTGGAGACTTATCTCTGGTAGGTTGTGGCCCAGTGCGCTGACAGCAATAGTCTTTTGGGGATGGGCCTCGTAATGTACTGCCTAATATGATCACAGATAAGTTTACTACATTACTACAGAAGATATGGTTCCTTCGTGATGTTATCCTCAAAGTTCTGGGGAAGCTTTTGGCTAAGAGAGGTTGACTTCTTGCGGGTCACTCTAACCGTTAATATCTCCCAATGTACTGTACCACCAGAGATGGTTTGGTGTATGTTGTGTTTACTTAATGAGTTACAAATAAATAGTTATGAAGATATCGAATCACGTTTTAGTGTCTTAATGCTTTTGTTTTTTTTCTTCTATATTTGTGTGCAGGTGTGCGTGCACGCACGTGATGAGTGTTAAACATATTTAATATTTAAGAATATCTTTACAGACATAAGGTATAACGTGGACGACCCCAAGATTCACGAGTTTAGTAAACTCATGACCGATTCACTCGGCATGATTCAGGGCCCCGCCCTACTCTTCGACATGTTCCCCTGGCTGCTGACCGTCGCCCCAACCTTCATTGAAAAACTCCTGGGTGTAGACGCAGACCTACGTAAGATCTCACAGCTCAAGGACTTCACCATGGTAAGATGATCCTTAAAAAAAATGGTAGTCAGTGAAGCGATATTGCTGTCTAGCTTTTCATACTTTATTAAATAGAAGTTATGTAGCAGCCAAGTGGTCACACTTCCCATTCCCACCTTTTGTCCTAAGGGTCGCTGTTCGCGCCCAGAGCATCAGTAGTTCATCCAAATCTGAATTCAGAGGTGAAGACGACTGTGTGCAGTACCAGTCATACGGACCCATTATGTACTGAAGGTAGTTATAGTCTACAGTGTGATGAATCTATTCTGCCCAAATCAGCCATTCAGGCTTAAGCGGTTTGGTCTCACTTTTTTAGCAAAAGCAGTCTCTTTATAAGCGGTCGGCCAAAGAAAATGCATACAAAGAAGGTTAACTTGCATATAACAGGTTGTAAAAGTGTTGTGACTGATTAACTTGAGGTAGATGAAGCATAAAGATAGTTCGAAAGACATACAGCTACAGTACAGGCTACTGACCATGACAAACTTAAGTGTGTTTAGTATCAGAGTAGATTAAAGTGAGTCACCGCCCATGTCTACGACTTACCATCAGCTACCTTCGTCATGAGTTTATGTTATCATCCTTGGCTCCACAACACTCACGTCATCATCCTTGGCTCCACAACACTCACGTCATCATCCTTGGCTCCACAACACTCACGTCATCATCCTTGGCTCCACAACACTCACGTCATCATCCTCGGCGCCATAACTCTTAAGTCATCATCCTCGGCGCCACAACACTTATGTCATCATCCTTGGCGCCACAATACTTACGTCATCATCCTCGGCGCCATAACTCTTAAGTCATCATCCTTGGTTCCAGCAAGTGATCGAGGAACACGAGGCCTCGCTGGACCCCGACAAGCCGAGGGACTACATTGACATCTACCTCGTGGAGATGAAGACACAGCAGGACAACCCAGAGTCTACCATGGACAGTAAGAGAGAGAGAGAGAGAGAGAGAGATTACCTCGAGCAGTAAGAGATAGAGAAAGATTATACCATGAACAGAGTGAGAGAGAGAGAGAGAGGGAGAGAGAAGAGAGAGAGAGAGATTACCTCGAGCAGTAAGAGATAGAGAAAGATTATACCATGAACAGGGTGAGAGAGAGAGAGAGAGATTACCTCGAGCAGTAAGAGTTAGAGAAAGATTATACCATGAACAGAAAGAGAGAGAGAGAGAGAGAGAGGGAGAGAGAGAATTCCATTATAATAACTGATGGGAATACTAACACCATCGACCTCAAAGACTATCAGGACCAGGCGAGTGTAATCGATATGTAATTAATGGTAGAATGAGTCAACTAACCCAGCACAGTGTACGTCTTTCCTGAGTACCCTACTGGGACACCTTTTCCCAATGCCAGACGTGCGACCATATCACTCTAATGGGAAAATAATATTATAACTTTCTGAGCTTCATTGTCAGAGCCATGATGGTGATAGGCAATAAATATGTAGTCCTTAACCAGTGTGATATCGTGTTTCTGATGTTGCCAGCCCTCGCCTTGTGTGTACGTTGCTCTCGCAGTATACCCGGGAATATATTGGAGTGGACTTATACAACAAAAACAGAGTTAAAGAAGGTAAAAGTTTAAGGCATTTTGTGAAAATATTAGTTTCACAAACTTTATTCAGCAATGTGACATATACAGCTGTAACTTCAGTATTTCTTTTCTCTGAACATGGCCTATGTATCGGAGCTCAAAAAGTAGCAATTTAGGTGTATATTTGTTGTAATGACTCTTGGAAAATTTCCTTCTGTAACTTTTTTATTTATTTTTGATACATTAAATAGTTTAATGGGTTAATTTCCAATTCCAAGAGAAAAGTGTTTTCGGCCCCCTTAAAACATTACCTCTATGTACCCCTTTGCCATTTTTGCACACATTTTGAATATACAAAAAATAATTAAAAATCTCATTATAGATAGTCCTTCGATACTCTGATTAAACTCGTATAAAATATAATATTCACTCCTACAGAACGTGACTTGAATGCCCAGCTGGTAGATCTGTTTGCTGCAGGGAGCGAGACGACCACCCAGACGTTAAGGTGGGCGATCATGTACCTGGCCAAGTACCCAGACATCCAGACCAGAGTACAGCGCCAGATTGATGACGTAGTGCCCAGAGGAACACTCCCTTCACTCCAAGATAAACCTAAGTGTGTTTATAAGTTATTTACTATTGCGAGACAAATGAAAGTATCTTCGCAGTGTGTTTATTAGGTGGCTGTTGTTCCACGAACAAGTCCAAGGAACACTATAAGGTGCACACTTATACTGACCCTCAACAGACCCGAGTATTGTGGTCATTTACTTATTATTCCACCATAAATCCCGATGACTTCAAATTATTCCTTAAATAAACTCCTCAACGTCCCAAGTAAATTTTTTACCTACCAGATAATTTTTTGGTGTCGCTCCGACTCAAGAATAACGCTGGTAACTCTTGTGTCACGGATGCTCAGTCTAAAGATCTTTGAAGCGTAGACTTAAAAGGAGTTCCGTAGTGTTGCAGTGTAGTTATTATTATTATTATTATTATTATTATTATTATTATTATTATTATTATTATTATTATTATTATTATTATTATTATTATTATTATTATTATTATTATTATTATTATTATTCTCAGACTGCCGTACCTGGTGGCGGTCATTCAAGAGGTCAACAGGGTTGTGTCTTTATCACCTTTAGGAGTCACTCACTTCGCTGCCGCTGACACTCAACTTGCTGGCTACACAATACCAAAGGTACACGGTCCTATAGGAGCGCTGGTCAGGTGATACTTCAGAAAAGTTCTTGTTTAGTTTCTCTACCATAGGTAAAACTTAGTTGTATCTCATGTTTAGGGTACTTGGGTCACCTTGACAAGGTGTACCATAAGACCAGTAATGTTACACTATGATAATTCTTGTTCGTATCGTCCTTAACCAGAGAAAGTAATAGCCATGTTGTATCTGGTGTTCAGGGAACAGTGGTCATCGCTAACCTGGAGATGTGCCACAAGGATCCAACCTACTGGGAGAAGCCTGATGAGTTCTACCCGGAGCATTTCCTCGACAGTGAAGGAAAACTGAAACCCAGGAAGGAGAATTATCTTCCCTTCTCTATTGGTAAGAGGAAGTTGTCAATGTGTTGTTGACTCTTCAAACAATGTCAGACACTTACAAAATGATATGAAAACATTCCAATCTTTAGTTATTATGTAATGCATGAGGTTATGATAGCCCTCGTATCTCAAGCATGAGTAATATTGGTCAAGCTGGTCTGTTATCTAAAAAAAAATGTTTTGTTCATGCAGGTACGCGTGCATGCCCAGGCGAGCCTCTGGCCCGCATGGAACTCTACCTCTTCTTGTCAGCGTTACTGCAGAATTTTACCTTCTCGGCTCCTGAAGGAGAGGACATCGACCTTCAGAAGGATCCAAGCAATGTGCTGATCAACTTTCCCAAACCCAATAAAGTTGTCATTATCAAGAGAACACAGAATGGTAGTGTGACGGACAGTGGAATGTCGGGTGACAGTGCAGGCAGCAAAGAATGAACAAGAACTTCTTCGACGGGATACCACGAGGCAGAAGACCAGCTGATGAAGGGGGAGATGCCCATAGGAAGTTTGTATGTGCTCCTTCTGCAGAACGGAAGTAACACAAAAGATTGTGGAACCACATGTGGGCAGTGCACTCATGTGGACCTGGGAGCGTTTGTTCGATCACACGGGTTAAAAAAATACCCAAATAAAAAACACGAAATCGACTTAGTTTACAGAAGTTGTTTGTTCACCATACAGTATTTCATACAAGTTTCCATTACAACTTCATGTGCCTAGATAATAAAAGAAAAATACCTATTTTGGACCCATTTATTCCGACTAGGGGAGTAAAAGCATATAATACAGTATGTGTTTTCGTCTAAAATATTTACAAAGCTTTTACATGACTACAATAATTTGTACTCAACCGTTTACCAGTGATCCGTGGATGATCCTCGTCAGTGGTATACATACTGTGCCTGATCCTGTTACACTAAGCTGGTAAGAGTTAGTAAATTATCAATGTCATTCTAAATGTGAATAATTATTTCTGTATTTACAACAGACCTGATGTAGTGTGTAAAAAAGCTCAACGTCCTCACCCCAGCTACAGTACTGTATGGCCTTAGTAATGATTGCTTCAGTGGCTGTAAGGGATGGCGACAGTGGTGTGGATATTGGACGCTGTCGACAAAGCTCTTCTCGGTACAAAAGAAAGAAGTTGTTGCTTAAGGTAGACACTGACCTTGTGGCTAAAGACCCCAACTATTTTACTATTTTAATTATTGGTTGATTAATTATTAGTCTATAGGTTTGCACATTTTATATTTGTATTTTTAATGTTTATATGATCTTGTTTTAACTTATCATTTGTTCTGTTTGAAGTTTTTAGTTTGATTGCGAGATTTTCTTCTTCAGTTTTTTTCCGTATTAGTTTAGGCGATATATTTTATTTTTAGTGAACAGTAATTAATCTAGTTTAGTTTGATACCTCGTCTGCTGATTTCTGAAGTTCGTCATTTATGTTTCAAGGTTAATAAATTTCCTACTACGAATATTATAGTCAACTAAAAATATGTGCTCACTGCGTGGAGATCGTATACGAGTAAATGCTTGCATACAGTATTAAAACATTATCATTGTCCTCACTTGTGGGACACCTCACGTATCAACTAGTTAGGAAAATTTTGCTGTTTAAATATAAGCATTCCGTGATCTACGTAAATATGTAGGACCATAATGTGTCTGTCCCCCGCTACACTTCTAAGGGATTTCAGTCTGTCAGTACATTGGCGGGCAACCTGTTGTATGCCAGGTAAGGTACAAGGAACGGAGACACCAAGATATTTAGGAGACATAGTCAATAGTGTTGTTACCTATCTTGAACTTGGCGGGGCCGCTTTTGCGGTTACCAGGTTGTTTGTTGAACACCTTAGTTTTCTCAGTGGTTTGCATTTCACGATGAGTTTTAGTATGTATAAGAATATCATCAGCATAGCTGATTGTGATATTGTCGAGGTTGTCTGGTATTAACTTTATTAATGCATTCATTAAGCAAAGTGGGCCTAAGTAACTTCACCTTGGGAGGTGCTAAGTTGCATATTTTTTACTTCGCTTTTGTAATCCTGAAACAGTGCAGCAGCCCTTCTGTTGGTGAGGTAACCACTTATCCAGTATAACAGACGACTTGCTGTATCCATTTTGGCTAGTTCCTACAAGAAATGTGGTGTATCTGTGTCTTTCATCACCATGCACAGTTAAAAGTGTGGTGATGCAATCATGTACATTTTTACCATGGGCGAAGCCATTTATGTTAGGAGACATGTGTTCCCTGATTCTATAGAGTCTGCCAAGAACCATCCTATCAAAGATTTTACACAGGCAGCTGGTTAGTGATATGTGACGAAAGGCATCAGGCTGTCCCGGCTTCGGTATTGGTACAACAATACTGTACACTTGGTCCATGACGTGGGTAGTTGGCCTTCGCATGACTTATATTGTACAGTGTTAATAATGGATTGCCCGGCACACGCCTGAGTTGTGTGTGTGTGTGTGTGAGTGCGTGCGTGCGTGCGTGTGTGTTGAAGAGGGCATAGTGTTAGGGAGGGGGTAGTGTGAGGGAGGTGAATTTTAGAAACTAAGCTGAATTTAAATTATATAATATATAGTGAAAGATTACATATCATTGCTCAATATTTATTTTGGATTACTTTTGGGATTGTAAACATTCAAATATTTTTATATTTTGTATTGTAAACCAGCTCTGTCCTGCTCTGTGGTATTTTAAAGATACGTATTCATGAGACCTAAATCAGTGTTAAGAGTATTAAATAATATTGTGCTAACCCTTTGTAGGGCACCGGCGCACTTAGGGATTTTATTCAGGCTAACGTAAGGGGATATTATTCAACTGAGAGGAACCCCTGCCCTAGAATGGGTTATGATAATGATGTGTAGGTCTAACTATTGTCACAACGTAAACTTGTAATTTACATGAATATAAAATTGTAGATATTGAATTTTTCTTTTATGTGGTTATCTCAATTAATTCGTATTTAAGGGCTGATTTGCCCCGGGCACTATAGGAACTGCCCTGCCATGCCCTGCCCTGCCCTGCCCTACCCTACCCTAGTCAGCCATACTATGCTCTCTTCATGATGGCAATAGTGTTGTAATTGGTTTGGTCCATCAACAAAGTCATAGGATCTTTCTGCATATCGAGTGGCTCTCCTTAAGCTTTAGATAAAGTGAAGTTCTGCAGCAGGTGTGAACAAGCGGAGATAGAGTTCCATGTGGATCAGAGACTCGCTTGGGCAGGAACGACGGCCCACAAAAACAAATATGCTTTACTATTTCAAATGACAACTATTTAACTGGTGATTGCCATATGTTCAGTGATGGCTGTCGGTGGTAAATTCATCAAACAAATGTTACAAATGGTTCCCAAGGCTAGTGGAGTAATCCTGTTGCTAAAACACACTGTCAACTTCCTCTTACCAACAGAGAAGGGAACATAGTTCTCCTTCCTGAGTTTCAGTTTTCCTTCACTGTCAAGGAAATGCTCCGGGTAGAACTCATCAGGCTTATCCCAGTAGGTTGGATCCTTGTTTTACCTCCATGACATAGAACACAAACAAGAACTTTTCTGAAGACTCACCTGACCAACGCTTGTGAAGAACCGTGTAGCTTTGGTATGGTGAAGCTGTAAGACGGTGACTCTGAGCCCCCAAATAAAAAAAAAAAAGTAAATTGACTTACCTGGGAATCTAAAGTAAATGAACCATCAGCTTAGATGAAAGGAAGAAATAATGAATGGTACTGAAACTGAATGTCTTGAAGGTGAACCAGAATAATGCACTACTGTGTGGGAGGGCCTCTACTAAGTCCAGGATCTTAACTCTCGTGCACAAGTGAGCCTCTCCCCACACCGCCCGCGTCAGCTTTACTATCATGGTAGCCTCCAGGTCTTAAAGCTTCGTGTTGGGTATATTTGACTTCATTTTTTTCCAGTGTAGAAATAATGATCGTCCACAGTTCGTTGGTTCGTTGTCTTGGTTGTTTCGGTAATAAGTCATTAAGTTCCTTAGAGTGGGTGGTGGGGGGTGGCTGTGGAGTACTACCATTCAAAATCTTATGTGAAAAACTTTATTTTCTCTTATTTTTTTAATCAAACTTAGAAAATCGACGACCCTGGGTGGCTTGGAGGATACAGTCAACATGGCAGCTGAGAGGATCGAGTATACAATACAGCACGGGGACTGTATCTCTCCTCCCTATACAGTGTTAGAGTGTGGGTTGGGAGAGAGGAGTTGAGGTGGTAGCCAGGACGGAGTAATGGTGGAGATTACTTGGTGGTGATCCCCCTCTCTGGCCAACAGCTCGGGCAGCAGAAGTAATATCTCCCTCGATAACAAGGTCTATGGTGCCGTAACCCGAGGCAGCAAGATTTATGAGGTGGGGTGTGTTCGTTATACAACCTCTTATATGTATATACATACATACATACACACCCGTTCACAAAGAGATATATGTACAAACAGATCCCCATAGCAATCAAGAGAGGGGCGTCACCAGTGTTACGGCTTTATAGCCTGAGGGTACACCGGTCCGAGTTACTTTGCTTTAGTCGAAAGGAACAGTATGTGCTTTAAACTAGTTACGTCATTACAATGTGCGTGCTAAAATGGCGTAAAACTTAAGTTGAGAACCTTGTCCAATGTGTGTAAATAACGTCTTTGTTTACATATTCATAAATAGCAGGAGGCCCAAAACATTCAGGTAAACAAAGAACACAATTATTATTATTAATTTATTTTATTACAACTTCCATATTTACAACTTTACAAACATGTTTATATTAATCTTAACTGATAAAGGATAGAAAAATATGACTTACAATACTCATACTCTCTCTCTCTCTCTCTCTCTCTCTCTCTCTCTCTCTTTTATAATCAAATGTAAGTAATCTACTTTATCCACTTACTGATCCTCTACTGCTGCCAATCAGTGTAAGCCCGAGATCTATGTGGATTTTGAGTACGATTGATTGGTATTGACCGAGCATTGTCGACGTAGCTGTTATCGGGACGAGATCTGTCGACATACTTGCTATTACCACGTGAGTTGTCGACATATCTGCTATTACCACGAGAATTGTCGACGTAGCTGCTATTACCACGAGAGTTGTCGACGTAGCTGCTATTACCACGAGAATTGTCGACGTAGCTGCTATTAGCTCGGACGCCGTGTACGTCCTCTTCAACCGCCCATCCGACATGCAGAGGAGTCATGGTGCTATTTCCTTGGGTGCGATATAACGTCTGTACGTGTCCGTGGTGGGAATAGAAGACCTCGTCATGCCTTGGTGCTGGCTGCCTGACTCTGAAATCTTCAATCTCTTGCTGGAGATTTTGACTTACCTCTCTCATCCCTCTGTTGACTGTGGAGACCCGAGGGAGCCAGGGTAGTGTGGTGGTGCTGGAGGCCGGAGATCTACTACTACTAGTAAGGTGTTTGGAGGTCGGCCCCTCCCTCCTCCTGCCTGATTCACCGAGTACCTGTAAGAGAGAAGAGGCGGGAGTTAGCCTGAAATTTACACATATGTGCCTTAACATAGTTCTTTATTTAGTTTCTTAATTATTCGTGCGACAGACTTTTTATTTTATCTGTAAAAGAAGGGTAAGTGTATAGTCGGGATATATAATTATTGTAGCTCTTGTATCCAAAATTTCCTAAGATTCTTTTCTCCTTTTTAGTGGATATTGTAAAACGTATCTATTGAGGACAGAGTTTGGGAGTAATTTTGACCCCATATTGACTTTCAGATTTGTGCCTGAATATGAAAGTTCTCCATTTACATTATCAGATTTCCCCGCTTATTAATTTTTTTTTTCGTGTGACTGGGAGATGAGAGAACGTACAGGTATATTGTCGACGTACAGAGTGACGTAGAGGCTCAGTGACGTAGAGGCTCAGTGATGTAGCGGCTCAGTGACGTAGAGGCTCAGTGACGTAGAGGCTCAGTGACGTAGAGGCTCAGTGACGTAAAGGCTCAGTGACGTAGAGGCTCAGTGACGTAGAGGTTCAGTGATGTAGCGGCTCATTGTCATAGAGGCTCAGTGACGTAGAGGCTCAGTGACGTAGAGGCTCAGTGACGTAGAGGCTCAGTGACGTAGAGGTTCAGTGATGTAGCGGCTCATTGTCATAGAGGCTCAGTGACGTAGAGGCTCAGTGACGTAGAGGCTCAGTGACGTAGAGGCTCAGTGACGTAGAGGCTCAGTGACGTAGAGGCTCATTGATGTAGAGGCTCAGTGGCGTAGAGGCTCAATGACGTAGAGGCTCAGTGACGTAGAGGATCATTGACGTAGAGGCTCATTAAAGTAGAGCCTCCTTGACGTAGAGGCTCAGTGACTTAGAGGCTCATTGACGTAGAGCCTCCTTGACGTAGAGGCTCAGGACTTAGAGGCTCAGGTACTAGAGCCTTGGGACGTAGAGGCTCAGTGACTTAGAGGCTCATTGACGTAGAGCCTCCTTGACGTAGAGGCTCAGTGCATTTACGAACACATATTGCCATTAGTATTTGTATATCGGCCAAAATAAACCCAAACTGTCCTCCTCCTCATGCCTGTGACTCCTGACCACGGACGGGTGTCATGGTGAGGACAGTAGAAATAATATAAGATTCAATGCTGTTTTATAATTTGAGGTTCCCTATATCAAACTACACTTCATGTACCGAAAAATCTCGTCTTAAGGCCCTGTACTTCCATAAAATTAAATATATATTTATAAAAAAAAAGTGGTGTACGTTTGACCACTTTAATGAAATATCTAAGGTGGCCACAACACAGGTAATTAAGAAGTAATTAATTCCTTACAGGATTTATTTTATAATTTTTGAAAGTATATTAAACCTGGCAGGGGTCATGTACCGGCGGGGTCACGATCTGGCGGAGTCATGAACCGTTGGGGAGTGCAGATTAAGATGCTTTAACCTGTCTCTGTACTCAAGGTTTCTAATGGTCGGGATTAGCCTGGTCATCCTCCTCTCGATGCTCTTTATCCATTCCACCAGACGAGTGTAAACAAATACTATTGCCAGACGCGCGAACATACACTATGCACCTGCACCATTATGTTTACCTTGTGTTGTGTTTACCTTGTGTTGTGTTTACCTTGTGTTGTTGTGTTAAATGCAGGGTAGGGTAGATAAGGAGAAAGATGAAGAAGACAAAAAAAAGATTGAGGAGAAATAAACATAAAACGAGAGATATAGTGGGAAAGGAGAGAAAACTGAGAGAGATAAAGAGAGCGTTAAATAGAAAGAGAGAGAGAGGAAGCGGTAGATTGACAGAGAGAAAGAGAGGGTGAGTGTGTGTTAGAGAGAAAGAGAAAGGGGAAGGGTAGATATACAGTACCTTGACGAATACCCTCCTTTGGCGCCTCCGACAGGCCAGCAACAGCAGTAGTAGTAACAGCAGCAACAGCAGTAGACAGCAGGAGAGACAGACCACAATAAACTGCTGTTTCGTGAGACCAAGAACACACCAAATACTTCTACATGGGGCGATGGTGGTGGTGACGAGGGAGGTGCTGGTGGTAACGTAAGGAATTGTGGTAGTGACGTCTCTGGTTGTGGTAGATTCCTTAAGAGTTGTAGTTATAGGAGTTGAAGAAATTGTTGCTTCATCAGTTGTAGTCGTTGTTACTTCAGGAGTAGTGGTAGTTGTTGCTTCAGGAGTTGAAGTAGTTGTTACTTCAGGAGTTGTAGTAGTTGTTGCTTCAGGAGTTGTAGTGGTTGTTACTTCAGGAGTTGTAGTAGTTGTTACTTCAGGAGTTGTAGTAGTTGTTACTTCAGGAGTTGTGGTAGTTGTTGCTTCAGGAGTTGTGGTGGTTTTTACTTCAGGAGTTGTAGTAGTTGTTACTTCAGCAGTTGTAGTAGTTGTTACTTCATTTGTAGTAGTTCTTACTTCATTTGTAGTAGTTGTTACTCCAGGAGCTGTGGTGGTTGTTACTTCAGGAGTTGTGGTAGTTGTTGCTTCAGGAGTTGTAGTAGTTGTTGCTTCAGGAGTTGTAGTAGTTGTTGCTTCAGGAGTTGTAGTAGTTGTTGCTTCAGGAGTTGTAGTAGTTGTTACTTCATTTGTAGTAGTTGTTACTTCAGGAGTTGTGGTGGTTGCTTCCAGGAGCTGTAGCAGTTGTTACTTCCAGAGTTGTGGGTGGCTAAGTTACTCTGGTGGAGTTGTAGTAGTTGTTGTCAGGAGCTGTGGGCAGCTGTTACTTCCAGCTGTAGGTAGTTGTTGCTTCCAGGAGTTGCAGTAGCTGGGTTACTTCCAGGAGCCAGGTGTATGTTACTCAGGAGTTGCAGTAGTTGTTGCTCAGGAGTTGTGGAAGCTTGTTACTCTCAGCCAGTAGTTGTTGCTTCAGCCAGTAGTTGTTGCTTCCAGGAGTTGTAGTAGTTGTTACTCAGTTGTAGTAGTTGTTGCTTCCAGGAGTTGTAGGTAGTTGTTGGCTTCAGTTGCAGTAGTTGTTACTTCAGGAGTTGTGGTAGTTGTTGCTTCAGTTGTAGTAGTTGTTATTTCAGGAGTTGTAGTAGTTGTTACTTCAGGAGTTGTGGTAGTTGTTACTTCAGGAGTTGTGGTAGTTGTTACTTCAGGAGTTGTAGTAGTTGTTACTTCAGGAGTGCCAGGTAGCTGTTACTTCCAGGAGCTAGGTATTGTTACTTGGTGAGTTGTGGTGGTTGTTACTCGAGTTGTAGTAGTTGTTACTTTAGGAGTTGTGGTAGTTGTTGCTTCAGGAGTTGTGGTAGTTGTTACTTCAGTTGTAGTAATTGTTACTTCAGGAGTTGTGTAGTTGTTACTCTACAGAGTTGTGGTAGTTGTTACTCCCAGTTGCAGTAGCGTTGTTACTTCAGGAGTTGTGGTAGTTGTTACTTCAGTTGTAGTAGTTGTTACTTCAGGAGTTGTGGTAGTTGTTACTTCAGGAGTTGTAGTAGTTGTTACTTCAGGAGTTGTGGTAGTTGTTACTTCAGTTGTAGTAGTTGTTACTTCAGGAGTTGTGGTAGTTGTTATTTCAGGAGTTGTGGTAGTTGTTATTTCAGATGTGGTAGTTGTTATTTCAGATGTGGTAGTTGTTATTTCAGATGTGGTAGTTGTTACTTCAGTTGTAGTAGTTGTTACTTCAGGAGTTGTGGTAGTTGTTACTTCAGTTGTCGTAGTTGTTACTTCAGGAGTTGTGGTAGTTGTTACTTCAGTTGTAGTAGTTGTTACTTCAGGAGTTGTGGATAGTTGTTATTTGGTAGAGTTGTGGTAGTTGTTATTTCAGATGTGGTAGTTGTTACTTCAGTTGTCGTAGTTGTTACTTCAGGAGCTGGTAGTTGTTACTTCAGTTGTAGTAGTTGTTACTTCAGGAGTTGTGATAGTTGTTATTTCAGGAGTTGTGGTAGTTGTTATTTCAGATGTGGTAGTTGTTACTTCAGTTGTAGTAATTGTTGCTTCAGGAGTTGTAGTGGTTGTTACTTCAGTTGTAGTAGTTGTTACTTCAGGAGTTGTGGACGTGGGTGGTGCTGTCGAGTCATCAGCGAGGACTTCAATGTATTCGAGTCCAACAGCGTGGCCAGTTTCTTTGCCTGTCCCGCATATATTGACGCTGACCTGAGGAGATGAAATACGGTTTAGGTGAAGGTAGTGAATCGTAGAAGAGGAAATGAAGTTATAGTTTAGGTGAAGGTAGTGAGTCATAGCTGAGGAGATGAAGTTATAGTTTAGGTGAAGTGTAGAGTCGTAGCTGAGGAGATGAAGTTATAGTTTAGGGGTGAAGGTAGTGAGTCGTAGCTGAGGAGATGAAGTTATAGGTTTAGGTGGGTTGTAGTGAGTCATAGCTGAGGAAGCAGAAGTTTAGGTGAAGGTAGTGAGTCGTAGCGAGGAGATGTGAAGATAGTTTAGGGTGGAACTGAGGAGATGAAATACGGTTTAGGTGAAGGTAGTGAATCGTAGCTGAGGAGATGAAGTTATAGTTTAGGTGAAGGTAGTGAGTCGTAGCTGAGGAAATGAAGTTATAGTTTAGGTGAAGGTAGTGAGTCATAGCTGAGGAGATGAAGTTATAGTTTAGGTGAAGGTAGTGAGTCATAGCTGAGGAAATGAAGTTATAGTTTAGGTGATGGTACTGAGTCGTAGCCGAGGAGATGAAGTTATAGTTTAGGTGAAGGTAGTGAGTCATAGCTGAGGAGATGAAGTTATAGTTTAGGTGAAGGTAGTGAGTCATAGCTGAGGAGATGAAGTTATGCAGTCAAAAGTAAATGTACCAAGTTTAAACTTTAAAATTTCTTGTTTTTTTCCATTATTATCTAACACTTACTTTATAATCAATATTGGTAATTATGGCACAAGGAGACCACAAAAAACACCCCAAAAAACGGTAATCCAGGAGGCAAAATTAGGGAATTTGAGAGTTTTATCACACACACACACACACACACACACACACACACACACACACACTTTTAAAGCTACTTTTGAACATTCTACAAATTTAAGACAATAGATAAAAGCAGGTCCCACACCACACAGTTTACTTAGCCTTCTACTGCACTGTATTCGACCACCTTCACCTCTCTACCTACAGTATACAGAACTGGGAATGCAACGCAATCGAACCCGAGACCCAGAGGACAGGAGGCGAGTAATTTATTTATTTTTTAAATTATTTATTGGGCACTCCCCTACAGCCTTGTGCAAGGTGAAGCGCAGAAGCGTTTACAGTGCCCAACAGGGAAGCATGCTAAGTTCATGCTTGCCTTTATGTCTCATGAGTTAAGGGCGTAGAAGCCTGAAGAGTCAAGGGCATAGAAGCCTGAAGGTCATCAAGTTATTGGAAGCTCCAACAACTTGTCCCTGAATACGAATTCGCAACTTTCGACTTACAACAGGTACCTACTTTACTGCTAGGTGAACAGGTACTAATGGGGACTAGGAAGTATGTCCAAACAACTTCCACCGGCCCGGGAATCGAACCCGCGACATCTCGCTTGCGAAGGCAAGAGCGGTACCACTCTACCACCAGCACCCCCGAGGCGAGTAATGTAGTCACTCAGTCGCTGCACCTTCATGAGACACAGAATAAGTTAGTAAAATAGCTTTGAGATACACTACAGCTCACAACCATCTGTTATACAATTTACTTTCAGGAAATAGTTGTTCTCTACGGCGGTGAAAATCGGACGCCCGTGTTTCATCATTCTCTGACCACGTCGCTAATAAGAGGATTTGTTAACACTATTCCAACAATTTCAAGGTAAATACAAATTATGTTAGAAATTTTAAATTCCTTTTGCGAGGTGAGGGAGCACGGGATATAGTGATCATTGGAAGAATAATACAGCGACGGGCATTTCTGACAAGTTTTATCTTAATCCAAATATGTTATGAGGCTTCCGTTAAGCTTATAGCCATTGTTTAATTGTGATTTCAAGCTGACAGTGGACTATGATATGATGCGTATACAGTACAAGATGGAGACAGTGGTAGTGCATTTACCTCTTAAATTCCTTGACCTTGTTGTTGTTATTGTTTAGGTCAGGTGAGGTCAGGTTTGTGATCGTCTGTGGCCAATCAGAAGTTAAGATTACATTGAAGTTATCGCTATTAGGCAAGTATCCCTATCTACTGAATCTTGTAAGTTACATACATACATACATACATACATACATACATACATACATACATACATACATACATACAATTAAACTTCAACACATCGTCAACAATTGGTGAATAGCTTTTACAATCATCAACCCATGACACATAGCGCATATTGTATACTCACACCATCCATAGGGGAGCAGTTTTGTAGCCAGACGGTCTGGTTCCACTTGCCGTACCTTTCCGGGTGCTCTTTACCACATAGATTAGTCTGTGAGTAATAGTTACACTTGGTCTTTATATAGAGCTCTGATTCTGTCGGGTCACACCAGTACGAGAAGCGAATGATGAGATTTTTCTGCAGGTTAACAACGATGTTCTTCGTGCAAGTGTAATCATGAAGGTCGAAGATAAACGCTCCTCCGCTGTCTCTACCGCCAGGGGGAACGTCCACCTTGTAGGAGGGGTCGATGGAGGAATAAGGCGTCACCTGGAACCCGGAACTGGCGGTGATGTCCTCGAAGTTGTTCTGGTCGTAACGCAAGTAGATGTTGGTGGCTCCTGTAAACCTGGCCAGCATCAGCAGCATCACTACGAACGCCAAGAACCTCAGTGCCGTCATCTTTCTTCTTGTTGCAGCTGCTTTCGCTTTGCTCTTGCTATCACGTTGGAGACCCGTTAGTTTATTAAATTATATTATGAATCTTTCCTAACCAATTTTCTTTCGTCTTCAAAATCACTCACAGTTTCTTCTGTTTCTCAAGCTAACAGAGGCACCCCACCGCCCCCCTCCCCAAGTATTCATGAACTGTTAAGTACCGTACAAGTTCTGCCACAACTTCTAATATCCAGCATTAAATGACATTCTGTGGAGTCTATAGACGAGGGACTATTGGCTGTCTGGAACCAACACATAGAAGGTTCTCACTCGCCGACGGCTAGTGAAGTATTACCGCTAAAGATCGTATCGGGTCTTATATAACTGTATTTGGGGCCACGGGAAGAAGTGAGATGAATTTTATGGTCTGTGACTCACGGAAGACAATTAGGCTAATCTGTGGTGTGATAACATGATAAAGACATACTGTAGTCAATTAAGGGATGATCTTCATAATAAGTACACGCTTATGTGACACCTGAACAACATGTGGAGAAAACGTGCGGGACACCTCATTATACTCTTGAGAAACACGTGAGAAATAAACGAATTAAACCTACAAGAGAAAAAATTATTCCTTTAAATTTATAAACAGAAAGTGGGTGAGGGAATTGAACGTTTTCATCCGTTTGTCTGAAAGTATATGAAAAGTTACTGTACACTGAGGAACGATCTAATATTATGAGGTATTTGCTTATCTCAGGCAACTGACAAGGGAATCCTGTTGACCTCACTTCCTGTTGTGAAAACCAAATAATCTAAATTCTAAAGTCTATATTGAGCCATTGGGAGAGTCCTGTTGTGTTGACATGTTGCAGACGTTCAACAAATTGTGGTAATATCTGTCCTCTCTCTCTCTCTCTCTCTCTCTCTCTCTCTCTCTCTCTCCCTTTCTCTCTCTCTCTCTCGATAATCCCCTTCCAAGCTAAAGAAAACATCGCATATTTGATAAAAGTGGAAAAGAGTAACGTAAGCGACATTAATACAAAATTATCCACACAAACCACTCTTGTTTTTAATTAACACATCAGTAAAAGAGTGATTTACTTTTTTTCAAGTAATCAGTAACAATAAAACTAATTCACTTTTTTAACTATAACCACTGCAGGTAAAATGCTTCAAAAATTTTAAGTATTTATTAAATACAAATAAATTCTCGCTTTTTTATTAATAATCCTTTACTAAGATGATAATTAGATTGTTTCTATATAATCAGGAAATATAAAAATATTCGCCTTTTTGTAGCAAATTATTAAGATATGTACGGTATTCCTGACACACGGACTGAGGATACTTTTGCTTTGTGATTTGTTAAGTATTTTTTTTTATAGTCAATTAATATTTGCTATCGGACGTAGGCACCTGTCCGCACTAACGCAGCTATGACTTATTTTATAGTCTCCTTTGTTATGGTCGCTTTCACGTCATTTTTTCATTCCTTATAAGATATTCAATCAGCCAGTCAGTCAGTCAGTTAATGGTGTTTGGTAGTGGTGAGGGGGGGGGTGGAGGAGGGAGAGTGAAGGATAAGTGATGTAAGGTGAAAGAAAGGGGAAGGATGATCGAGAAGGAGGTGATGGGGGAGAGAATGGAGGAAATGTGGTTCAGATGACAGGTTTCTCTTTCCTTGTTATGATCCTCCTTCCCTTCCCCGCCCCCCTCACACTTTCTCATCCCTTCTTGCTCCTCCTTTACTTCTTTTCCTCTCCTTCCTTCTCCCTCACCCCTACTCCTTTCCTCCCTCCTCCCTCACCCCTTCATCTCTCCTCTCCTCCTTCACACTTTTTCCTTCTCCCTCACCCCTATTCCTTTCCTCCCTCCTCCCTCACCCCTACTCCTCTCCTCCCTCCTACTATTCTCCTACCTCCTCTCCTCTCCAATCCGTCTGTGTTCTTCCCGGAAATTACCTTAATTATCCACGAGGTGGTTTATACACAGACACACACACACACACACACACACACACATTCCCTCGACGAACTTTTCTGCCCCACGAACTACCAAACAGAAGATTAATGACCTTACTGGAATATCAGGACAGGAAGGGTCGAGCGTCATGATCGTGGATGGCGGTCAAGGGCTGAAATCTTTTTTGTTTTCAAGTCACCAAGTGGGTCACACCCCAGCTATGGAATTTAGGTCGTATGGCCCAGCACCCACGCCGTGATGCAAGAGAAGGATTAGTGGGCAATACCTGGGGATTTAGAGACAAAGATTACTCACGTCTGTACAGCTCAAGGGAGAGAGATATACTTACTAAAGCCCTCAGAGATATTTAAGAAATCCCTAATTTACCTTAAGGATTTATAAATGCACTTAAATACCTCAGGGGATTCAAGGGTCGAATTAAGTTCCCCAGATTCTCAGTTACCCTTAAGGGATTTAAGGGGAGGAACTACGGCCTAGACCCCTGATGTTCCTAAGGGAGGTTTACACAGTGGGACTAAATACTAAGGGGCTTCACGTACCCCTTTTGTGTAATATATGGGCCTCAAGGGTACGTAATGCCCCTCTGATGCGTAACTGTTCCTCCAGTGCCTTAATCTGTTATGGTCATGGCGTCTCTCTACATCTCCAGCGACGGTGATGTGTTAGTGAGGTGTGTGAGGTGGTGTGTTGGAGAGGTGTGTTGGGGAGGTGTGTGAGGTGTTGTGTTGGGGAGGTGTGTTGGAGAGGTGTGTTGGGGAGGTGTGTGAGGTGGTGTGTTGGGGAGGTGTGTTGGGGAGGTGTGTGGGGAGGTGTTTGAGGTGGTGTGTTGGGAGAGTGGTGTGTTGGGGAGGGTGTGTTGGGAGGTGTGTGTGTGTTGGGAGGTGTTTGAGGTGGTGTGTTGGGGAGGTGTGTTGGGGAGGTGTGTGAGGTGGTGTGTGGGGAGGTGTTTGAGGTGGTGTGTTGGGGAGGTGTGTTGGGGAGGTGTTTGAGGTGGTGTGTTGGGGAGGTGTGTTGGGGAGGTGTGTGAGGTGGTGTGTTGGGGAGGTAAGGGAGAATGTGAACTGGGATATTGGGAGGTGAGTGGTGAGTGAAAGGGAAGAGAGGGTAAGTGAAGAAAGACACAAAGAAAAATAAAAAAAAAGAGAGAAAGTAAGGAGGGAGGGAGGGAGGGAAGGAAGGAAGGGAGGAAAGGAAGAGGAGCACAAACTCACAGGACAAGACTGTGCTAAGTATACAGGGCGTCACCTTTAATTGAAGGGAAAGTGTCTATATATATATATATATATATATATATATATATATATATATATATATATATATATATATATATATATATATATATATATATATATATATATATATATATATATATATATATATATATATACAGGAAGCCTTTTGAGAATGCGAGTGTCTACGTATTTTGTTTGTTTATATGATGGTGTATGAGGTTTTACACCTCGGAGCACAACCTCAATTTTATCTGGGGATAGATGTTAGCACTCTGTCAAGGTTGGCGTAAAAGGCCTCCTTGATGTCATCCTCTGCATCATGTGTTGGTGCGCATGCACCGATGAAGAAGGTAAGTTGTGAGTGATTCATTGGGACTCTGAGCGTCATGAGGCGCTCGTTGATCCCAACAGGCTGTAACATAGAATGGTCTTCCTTGTATATACACCAAAGTTTTCACCTCCATCTGCACGGCTTACTCCCAGACCACCCAAACTACTCGTTACCAACAAGCCAACGAGGAAAACAGAGACAGGAGTTGGTTCCTGATTGGCGGAAAACCTTGCCGGCTTTTGAGGGGCAGGTGATGTCTCTTCTGGGCACCCAGGCCCAGTCAGTTCAGCTCACACCACCAGCGGCTACTTGACCCTCCCCGCTACTCTGTCGTGGAGTGATCCACTGTTCCGGCACTAACCTGTACACGAGGAATCTACTGGTCATCCAGTTGTAACAGCTGAGTACATTATTTTTCACCCTTGTATATATGTTTTTGTGTTTATTTAGGTTTAATTATTATATTTAAAAATCACTTGCATATTTTTCGTGTCCATGGTATCTACTATTCATTGAAGCCAAGTAATGCTGTATAACTAAACCTACAGTAAAAAGAAACTACAAAATTTTACAATACAAACAGATTGTCATTTGTTACGTAATTGGGCCTGAGTTTTACAAGGTATTATAACTAAATTACTTCAAACAAAAAGCCCCTAGACACACACACACACACACACACACACACACACACACGGGTAAAGAAATTATTTAAAATTTTGAGATTAAAAGTAAAGGTTAAAGTAAAGTAACTTAAGACAATTACCCATGTGGGGTCAGCAGAGTGTGTCCTTGAAAGGGCTGCCTAGATCCCAATGCATAAACGAGCATCTTATCTATGCTGCCCATGTGTAGAGTTGTGACTAGAGACTAGCGGCAGTCATCTCTGCCTGTCCCTGTCGCCACTCATCTGTCGCCTTAGGACTTATAGGGGCTTTGATGATGATGAAAAGTTCGATGAGCTGGATGATGACTGCGTGTGAGTTGATTTATGTCGTGAGGCAGGAGCGCAGGCTGCAATCACACCTCTTGGCTCTTCCATTTCCTGATCCAGAGGTGCAAGTGTTGCAACGACTGGGGAGAGGGAGAGTTGCAATAGACTGCCGATAGCCTAGTTTGTTGGGTTTCGCCTTAGTAGCCTGTTCATCATGCAATGCCTTCGTCCGCCATTGTAGTCTTCAGCTTATACCGCCGTTAGGGTCTTGTTGGTGCTCTGTAAGCTTTTATACCTGATGCTGGGCTCCACCTCAGATTTTTCGTTCGGAGTTTACTCCCGTAGCCTCATACCTACCAATGTTAATCAGCAAGGCAGCGGGGCAGTGGTTGGTAGGCGCCAGGACGTGTTCACATGCCAGTGGGCCTATGCGACGTCGCTCTGGGGCCCACTTTTGCTCCGAGATCCCCTGCTGGTGTAGCTTGGGTCCACGAGGCACCCAGTTACCGTGTGTTGCCACGAGGAGGCACAACAGAAGTCTTTATGGTGAAGACGCTGTGTACTTGCAGGCGAAGACTTGTGCAAGTTGCTTCCCTGTTCACCACGAAGGCTAGCCAGTGGCGGTAGCTAAAAACGAGAAGGAGCAAGCAGTGCCTGCACCTTAACGCTAACGTAATGCTGCCACACTAGACGCATTACACCACTCTGTATAAACACACACACACACACACACACACACACACGAGTCATCATCATCTAGTTCCTGTCTGTCAACACATTTCCCTGAGTTGACTTATTACACGAAGCTCCAGGGAGGCGTGTCGGCGGTGATCAACCAATTGGGTGTCAACA